TATAACACGTACAATTACGTACAGTACGTAATATTGATGATGATAATAAACAACTATTTTTCTGGCTTGTGTACTTACTCTACTTTTTATCATTTTTAGAGTGCACTCTTTCTACTTGTAAAAAAGCTGGTTGTAACCCTGGGCAGTGTTAGCCCACGGCAGCCCATGCGTTTCTTTACCACATCTCAAGGTTGCATCCTTTTCTCTTGTGCTTGATTTAGTCTCGTGTTGTTTTATACAGTATAAGCTTGTTGTGCTTATAGTATAGGCTTGTTTCGTGTAGTGTGGGCTTGTGGCCTAAGAGCAGTAGGCGACACCATACCGCCTAGGTGTGTAGTAGGCTGTGATGTCCAGGTTTCCATAAGTGTACTTGATGTTCACACAAGGATGAAATCCCCTGAAGATGCATGCTCAGAATGTATCCCCACTGTTAAACAGCCCATGACTGTAACAGTGAGACATGTTGCCTGATGTATTGGTATGTTAAAATTTCAGCAGTAGAATGTTTCCAGTCAATAAAATTGAGGATGTGACCATGGGTGTGGACTGCTTATTAAGAGTGGGAAATGACAGTCTTGGGAATTGAACATGGTTAAATTCACATAGGAGACAGGGTGGAAAGTAAGCCTGAGTTGGGTATTGTAGATGTCAGTGTTTGATTCATAGGATCCTTAAAGGAAAAATACCTTATTTCTAACATATTTCTTAGTTGTGTACTTTTATTGTAGTATGGACCCAACGTTTGTTGACTTTCTTTTCTTTTTTTTTATCCTCACTCGATATTTTTCCATTTCTTGTTCAGATAGAGTGGGAGGGAGAGAGAGAAAGAGAGAGAGAGAGAGAAACATCGACATGAAAGGGACACATCAAGTGGCTGCCACCCGCATGACCAACCAGGGCCGGGGACAAACTGCAACCGAGGTACGTGCCCTTAGTGGTAACTGAACCCGGGTCTCTCTGGACCGCAGGCCGATGCTCTAACCACTGAGCCAAACTAGCCAGGGCTGAATTTCTTTTTATTAGACAGTTTTTGATAACCTGGTAGGTTGCCAGTGGCTAAGCCAGTCCTAAAGTTGAGAGGTATAGAAATCGGCTCAGGCACTATTTCAGCTCTTCTGTAGGTACAGAGATAAGATAAGTACAATGACCTAGCCAGTGTAGCTCAGTGGATTGAGCATCATCCCATGCACCAAGAGGTTACTGGTTCGATTCCTGGTCAGGGCACAAGCCCAGTTTCCAATGGGGGGCATGCAGGAGGTGCCCAGTTGATGTTTTTTCTCATTGATGTTTTTATCTCTCCATCTCCCTTCCTCTCTCTCTAAAAATCAATAAAGAAAAAAAATTTCTTTTAAAGTGTATAAGCAAGTTGTTAAAGGTCTTTTCATTACAGTGGTTTTCTTTATTTGCAAATGTGCACATTTTAGTGTTTCAAAAATAATATTCTTTTTTTTATGTCTAACTCATAGATTTATTATGAGGACTATTTCAGAATGTAGGTAATGCATTCAAAACGGTGTTTGATAAACATTTAGGATAAACACAGTGCAAGACCTTAAACCATTGGCTATTATTATTATCATTATTTTTTACTTCTTTTTTAATTGAATTAATTTATTTTTGTTACAGATGTTTCTCCTTTTTCCCCCACTGATCCCCTCTCCCCCTCCCCCTCCCTCCTTGCCCTGTCCCCAGCTTTGTTGTCCATGTCCATTGTTCATGCATACATGCATATAAGTTCTGTGGTTTATCTCTCCCCCACCACCCCCTCTTCTGGGGATTGTAAGTCTGTACCCCACTTCCACCTCTCTGGGACTATCCCATTCCTCAGACTGTTATGTTCATTATATTCCACAAATAAGTGAGATCATATGATACTTGTCTTTCTCTGTTTGGCTTGTTTTGCTTAGGATGACACTTTCCAGGTCCCTCCATGTCATCTCAAAGGATAAGAGATCTTTCTTTCTTATAGCTGCAAAGTACTCCATTGTGTATATGTACCACTGCTTTTTTATCCATTTGTCTACTGATGGACATTTGGGCTGTTTCCAGATCTTAGCTATTGTAAATAGTGCTGCTATGAACATGGGGGTACATATATTCTTTCAGATTGGTGTTTCAGGCTTCTTAGGGTATATTCCTAGAAGTGGGATCACTGAGTCAAATGACAGTTCAATTTTTAATTTTTTGAGGTAACACCATATTGTTTTCCATAGTGGCTGCACCAGTCTGCATTCCCACCAGCAGTGTATTAGAGTCCCCTTTTCTCCACACCCTCACAAACACTTGTTGTTTGATGATTTGTTGATGGCGGCCATTCTGACAGGTGTGAGGTGATACCTCATTGTTGTTTTAATTTGCATCTCTCTGATGATTAGTGATTTTGAGCATTTCTTCATATGTCTCTTAGCCATTTGTATGTTCTGTTTGGAGAGGTGTCTATTTAGTTCCTCTGCCCATTTTTAAATTGGGTTCTTTGTCTTCCTTTTGTTGAGTTGTATGAGCACTCTATATATATTGGAAATTAACCCATTATCTGATATATCAATGAAAATTATGCTCTCCCATACAGTGGGTAGCCTTTCCTTTTTGATGATTGTATCTTTCGCTGTGCAGAAGCTTTTGAGTTTGATGTAGTGCCATGTGTTCATTTTCTCCTTTGTTTCTATTGCCTTAGGGGATGTATCAGTGAAAATTCTGCTGCATCTGATGTCTGAAATTTTGTTGCCTACATTTTCTTCTAGGATTTTTATGGATTCATGAGTCATATTTAAGTCTTTTATCCATTTTGAGTTTATTCTTGTATAGGGTGTAAGTGGATGGTCTAGTTTCATTTTTTTACATGTAGCTGTCCAATTTTCCCAACACCATTTATTAAAGAGGCTGTCCTTACTCTACTGTATGCTCTTGCCACCTTTGTCAAATATTAATTGAGCATATTGCCTTGGGTCCATTTCTGGGTTTTCAGTTCTGTTCCACTGGTCTATATGCCTGTTCTTGTGCCAGTACCAGGCTGTTTTGATTACAGTGGCTTTGTAGTATAACGTGAAATCTGGTAATGTGATCCCTTCGATTTCGTTCTTCTTTTTCAAGATTGCTGTGGCTATTCGAGGTCTTTTTTGGTTCCATATGAACTTTTTAAGTATTTGTTCTAGTTCTGTGAAGTATGCTGTTGGTATTTTGATGGGGATTGCAGTGAATCTATAGATTGCTTTGGGTAGGATGGACATTTTAATGATGTTAATTCTTCCAATCCATGGGTATGTGGTTCCACTTTTTTATATTTTCCTCTATTTCTTTTTTCAATTACCTGTTGTTTTCTGCGAATAGGTCCTTTATTTCTTTGGTTAAGTTTATTCCTGGGTATCTTAATTTTTTTGCTGCAATGGTAAATGGGATTGTTTTCTTAGTTTCTCTTTCTGTGAGATCATCATTGGTATATAAGAATGCCATCGATTTCTTGATGTTAATTTTGTATCCTGCTATTTTGCCAAATTCGTTTATTAAGTCTAGTAAATTTTTGATGAAGTCTTTGGGGTTTTCTACGTATAGTAGCATGTCATCTGCGAATAATGACAGTTTCACTTCCTCCTTTCCAATTTGGATCCTTTTTATTTTTTCTTCCTGTGTGATTAGTGTGGCTAAGACTTCCAGTACTATGTTAAATAGGAGTGGCGAAAGTGGGCATACTTGCCTTGTTCCTGTTCTTAAGGGAAATGCTTTTAGTTTCTGCCCATTGAGTATGATGTTGGCTGTAGGTCTTCCATATATGGCCTTTATTATGTCGAGATATGATCCCTCTATTCCCACATTGCTGAGCATTTTTATCAGAAATGGATGCTGGATTTTGTCGAAGGTTTTTTCAGCATCTATTGATATGATCATCTGTTTTTTTCCCTCATTTTATTTATGTGGTGTATCACGTTTATTGATTTGTGAATATTGTACCAGCCTTGCATTTCTGGGATGAATCCTACTTGGTCATGGTGGATAATTTTTTTGGTGTATTGCTGGAGCCGATTTGCCAGTATTTTGTTCAGGATTTTGGCGTCTATGTTCACCAGGGAGGGATATTGGCCTGTAGTTTTCTTTCTTTGTAGTGTGTTTTTCTGGTTTTGGAATTAGAATTATGCTGGCTTCATGAAACAGGTTTGGAAGTCTTCCTTCTTCTTGAATTTTTTGAAATAGTTTGAGGAGAATGCGTGTTAGTTCTTCTTTTTTTTTTTTTTTTTTTTTTTTAATCCTCACCCGAGGACATTTTTCCATTTTTTTTGTTGTTCAGGTAGAGTGGGAGGGAGAGAGAGGAACAGAGAGAGAGAAACATCGATGTGGAGGGACACATCGAGTGGTTGCCACCCACACAACCAACCAGGGCCGGGGACAAACTGCAACCGAGGTACGTGCCCTTAGCGGGAACCGAACCCGGGTCTCTCAGGACCGCAGGCTGACGCTCTAACCGCTGAGCCAAACCGGCCAGGGCAGTTCTTCTTTGAATGTTTGGTAAAACTCCCCCGTGAAGCCATCTGGGCCTGGGCTTTTGTTTGCTGGGAGAGTCTTGATTACATCTTCAATTTCTTCTGTTGTTATTGGTCTGTTTAAGTTTTCTATCTCTTCCTGGTCCAGTTTTGGGAGACTATGTGTTTGTAGAAATTTGTCCATTTTGCTTAGATTGTCGTATATGTTGCCATACAATTGTTCATAGTAGTTGTTAATGATGTTTTGTATTTCTGTGGTGTCAGTTGTTACTTCTCTTTCACAAAAATAATATTCTTTTGGGTAGAATCTGATTAAAATTTTATATTTTATATCACATAATAATTGTTATAAAGTGTATTCAATTTATAAATCAAAGAGAAGAAAGTCATTTGGAAAGCTTTATCTAATTAAATCATGCTTTGAAAGTAGTTCGACCTTTAATTTTGTTTTATTTTGTGGCAGATCTTTTATATAATATAGTCTCTGATTTATATTGACTTTCAAAATGTTGTTTCCATTTTTCTTAGGAAAACCGGAAATCATTTTCACAACTTCATTAGTTGGCAAGATCTGAGAGCTATTGAACTTGTAAAGTCTTGGAATAGTTCCCTTATAATGAAGGTAATCTTTTTTTTCTCTGCAATTTGGATATTACTGTTTTTCCTGTAAATGTCCCTTAACTATAGACTTGATTGTAGAATCTCCTACCTGTGTTGTTTTTGGACATTGGTAAGAGAGTACACACGTGCACACTCTCACACCGGTGAGATTCATTGATAGTTACCCAGAAGTGTATGTGGTATTCTGTGGCATCCTTAACAACTACACTTCAAGAAGTCTTGAGGAGGTTTGCGGTGAACCAGGGGTTTACGTGTTAGTGGGAATTCACATTTTCATTCCTGGAGAAATGGAAAAAATACAGACTATGTCCAGAAAAGATACAGCAATGTCCAAATGTCATCATCATGGAGAATATATATTGAGATAGTTAATTAGCTGACCTCCACATGCTCTTAACATAACACCTGGTGCATAGTAAGCAGGTGATGGTGGTGATGATGATGAACTCAGTGGGAAACTGAGTTAAAGTGTAAGAGTTTTCCAGCTCCTCAACTGTGCGGAAACCCACAATATTTGGTGTTATAATCAGTATCGCATATTGATTATTTTAATACTTCTAATGCCACACAATTAAATGTCTTCTCGGTTTGGGTGCCTGGGGTGTGTCAGGAGCACCGGTTTTACTTGCTAAGTATTTGGAAACATTAATTTTATATAAAAACTAACATGAATATAGTATAGACTAGGGCAGCAATGCATGAAGGAAACACTTGCCATAATCTCATGCACACTGAGTTTTCTTTTTGTTAGTTTAATATATACAAACGCACCCTGCTTTAATACCTCGTGAGGCTGCACACTGAGAGGTGCTGCTGCAGGGAAGACAGTAAGTGAGGGAGCTGAAAGTGGTCATAAGAAGGCATGAATCCTGGATGGTGCAATTTTAAATTGTACTATTTATAATGCGTAACTTTATATCTTAATGTATCACTTTAGTGTTTTTTGTTTTTTTTTATCCTCACCTGAGGGCTTTTTTTTTTTTTTTTTAATATTTTTTTCAGATAGAGTGGGAGGGAGAGAGAGAGAGAGAGAAACATCGACGTGAAAGGGACACATCGAGTGGTTGCCTCCCACATGACCCAATCAGGGCCGGGGACAAACTGCAACCGAGGTACATGCCCTTAGCGGGAACTGAACCCAGGTCTCTCTGGACCACAGGCGGATGCTCTAACCACTGAGCAAAACCAGCCAGGGCTCACTTTAGTTTTTAATAGGGCAATGTTTCAAACATTCCTGTCATGACTAATTTCTTGTCAGCCAGTGAGATGTTCAAAATTTTTGTTCTTTTAATTGTGGCCACGGAAAACATTAACTTGTATGGTATTAGCCCAGATCTCAAATTGTGATGCAAAATTATGACTTTAGCACACAACTGAGCATTTAAAGCACTTCGTATACTTGATATTGAACATGTGCATGCTTGGCAGAGAATTGCACACAAACGGCTGTCCTGCCAGCCGAGGAGCCCCACCCTGCAGGCGTCTCTTCCTAGATGCATCTAGTTCACTGACTGCTGTCTGGAATGTTTAGGGTCTGTGTGCCAGAGCTAGCCCCAAGCAAAGTGCTGAAGTAACTGAGCTGTGTTGGCAGTCTCCTGCACCACTGCCCTACAGTCTCCAGAAGCACCTGCTTCCTTTCACTGTTGTTTGATTCTTTTTTTAGAAAAACATTTTATTTATTTTTTAAACTTATTTTTATTGTTGGGTGTATTACAGATGTCCCCCCTTCCTTCCCCCATTGACCCCCTCCTCTCCAATCCTACCCCCCTCCTGCCTTCCCCACACTATTGTTTGTGTTCATTGGTTCTGCATATATGCATAGAAGTTCTTTGGTTTATCTATTCCCACCATCCCTCCCCCTTTCCCCCTGAGGTTCATCAGTCTAACAATCAATTTGTTCTTAATTTCTTCATCTTCTTCACCCAACCCCCTGCACCCTCCCATTTGTCAAGCAACAAAGTTATCTGTATCTATGAGTCTGTTTCTGTTCTGCTTGCTCATTTTGTTTGTAGATTGAATTGTTGATAGATTTGTATTTATTGCCATTTTATTGTTCATATTTTTGTTCTTTTCCTTCAAGAAGACCCTTCAACATTTCATATAATACTGGTATGGTGGTGATGAACTCCTTTAACTTTTTCTTATCTGGGACACTCTTTATATGTCCATTGATTCCAAATGATAGTTTTGCAGGAGAGAGTAATCTTGGTTGTTATGTCATTGCTTTACATCACCTTGAATATCTCTTGCCACTCCTTTCTGGCCTGCAAAGTTTCTTTTGAGAAATCGGCTGACAGTCTTATTGGAGCTCCTTTGCAGGTAACTAACTGCTTTTCTCTTGCTGATTTTAAGATTCTCTCTTTGTCTTTAACCTTTGGCATTTTGATGATGATGTGTCTTGGTGTGGACTTCTTTGGGTTCAACTTGTTTGGGACTCTCTGAGCTTCCTGGACTTGTGTGTGTCTATTTTCTTCACCAACTTAGTGAAGTTTTCTGTCATTATTTTTTCAAATAGGTTTTCAATTTCTTGCCCTCTCTATTCTCCTTCTGGCACCCCAATGATGTGAATGTTGGAATGCTTGAAGTTGTCCCTGAGGCTTCTTACACTGTCCTCATTTTTTGGATTCTTTTTTCTTTTTGCTGTTCTGATTGGGTGTTTTATGCTTCCTTAAATTCCAAATCAATGGTTTGCTTCTTGGCTTCACCTACTCTACTATTGACTCCCTATAAATTATTCTTTATTTCAGTTAGTGCCTCCTTCATTTCTGAATGGTCCTTTTTTATGTTGTTGATGTTCTCACTAAGTTCCTTGGAGTTCTCCTCAAGTTCTTTGAAGTTTTCATTAAGTTCCTTGAGGTCCTCTCTAAGTTCCTTGAGCATCCTTATAACCAGTGTTTTGAACTCTGCATCTTATTGATTGCTTATTTCCAGTTTGTTTAGTTCTTTTCCTGGAATTTTGTTCTGTTCTTTCACTAGGGACATTGTTTCTTTGTCTCCTCATTTTGGCTGCTTCCCTGTGATTGTTTCTGGGTATTAGGTAGAGTTGCTATGTCTTCTAGGCTTCGTAGAGTGGCCTATTGTTGTAGGTGTCCGTCGAGTCCAGTGGCACAGCCTTCCTGGTCACCCAGGTGGGCCCTCGAGGTGCACCCCTAGTGTGGACTGTATACCCTTCTGTTGTAATTGAGTCTTGATTGCTGTTGGCAATTCAGAGGGAGGGATTTACTCAGGATGATCAGCTGCAAGGACTGGCTGTGCCCACTGACCACTGGCCTCTGACTATCTTGGAGGATCAGCTGTGCAGGGGCCCACCACACAGGGCAAGACTTACTTCATCAGGGCTCTGGTACCCACTGAGTCCACTCCTTGAGTGTGTCACTTGTGGAGGTGGTTGGGTGGTGGTGCTTTGATGTGATCTGAAGCTGTCCACTGGGTATGCTGGCTCTGGGGCAAAGTCAACCTCTGCCTGTGTTCTATCCAGGGCCACCCAGCATAAGCTACAAAGTGATCTGCAGATGGCTGCTTCTTGTACTGGGCTCGGAGGTGTCCAGGAAAAGCTAAATTGTGAACCACGGCTGGCTGCTTCTAGTGCCAGGTCTGGGGCCACTTAACGAGAGGTATGGGGCTTGCTGAGACCAGGTGCTGCTAGTTTGAGAGATTTTGGGAAAATCTGAAGCAGGATCCAAGACAGGCCAATCCTGTGGTAAAGCCACTGGAAACAGCTTGGGTGGGGCAGGGCCTCAGGGAATCACCAGGGCGGGGCAAACAGTGTGAGCCAGGTTGCTGGAGACCCATGGGGAAGGGCTCACCAAAGGAACAACGGCCTCCCACAGCAAGTCTGTCTGGGAGAAGGCTGGCCCTCCAGCTCTCACCCCAATGCCAAACAACTCAGTTCTTCCCCGTATGTCTCTGGTGCCTTTCAAGCTGCCTCTCCATCGCTGGAGCTCAGAAGGAGCAAGTCCGAGTAAGTCCGTGCGCGGGCCCTTTAAGAGGAGCTGCCTGGGGCTCCAGCAGCCTCACCCTCCCTGAGCCTCAGTTCCCGCTGGTTTTTCCAGCCAGAAGTGATGGGGATTCTCTTCCTGGCACTGGGACCCTGAGCTGGGGGCCTGTTGTGAGACGGGGACACCTCACTCCTCAGGGAGAACCTTCCCAGCCGAGGTGTCCTCCTGATTTTTATCCACCACACGTGGGTGTGGGACCAGCTCGTCCCCCTCCGCCCTCCTACCAGTCTCGTGTGTAGCTGTAGGACTGCCATTCAGCTCATGTCAGGCGGTTCTGAAGGATGTTTGTTCTGTAGTTTAGTTGTAATTTTGATGTGGTTCTGTTGTTTGATTCGTGCCTGCTGGTTGTTAAGGCTTCTCTTTGCTTTCAGCATAAAAATGTCTGCTCCTTACCATGGTTTGGCCTGTATACAGCTCTGACCACTTCTCAGTCTCCTTTGTCCCGGATGCTGCTAAGGGTTAGGCTCCAGCCTGCTTTAACTCTTGTAGCCCCCAAGCCCTTTGTCACCTAAGGCCCTCATACCTACAAGGGGCTCCCTCTGCTATCATGGCTGATCGTTGTGGTTTTTCAGGGCTCAGCTTTGTGTTACCTTCTCTGGGAACCTTCCTTGCCATCCTGTTTAAAGTAGCCCCCCAACGCCTAGCCACAGTCTGTCTCAGTGTCCTTTATTTCCTTCATAGCACTTAATACATTTCAAAGATTCTGTGACACATTTTTAAACTGAAATTTTAATTGAAGTAATTGTTGATTCACATGTAGTTATACGAAATAATACTGAGTTCGCATACACACTTTGTAGTTTCTCCCAATGTTAACATTTTATAAAACTACAGTATCATGTTATGACCAAGACCCATAGATCTTATTCAGATTTCCCCAGGTTTACTTGTACTCATTTCTATTTGTGTGTGTGTATTAATTTCTATGTAGTTTTTTCATGGGCTCATATATCCGTCACTCAGTCAAGGCACTGAACATATAACTCTTGTTGCTCTGATTAAA